ATCTCAGTTACCTTCACAAGCCACAGCTGCTGCCCAACTAAGGACCCTGCAGCTGCAGCTCGTTTAGAGTAACTTAAGACACACATAGATCTCACAATACAACATATATTCAGGCCCCCACAACCCAGGGTTTCCAAGGGGAAATATCTCGGTGACAGCGCCTTGAAGCAGCTCCCTGGCTGTGCTCCCCTCAAGGAACATCGAGGTGGATTTATTGACCACTCGTCCCTCAGTGGGGTCTGTGGTAAGTGCTGGGTCCCCAGGACGAAGGAGGAACTGAGAATCTGACTCCATGTTCTTAGAAGTCTAATTTATTATTTTATGCTATTATTTTATATTACAGAATGCTATACTAAAACTCTGCTAAAGAACAGAGAAAGGATACAGAGAGAAGGCTTAACAAGAATGAATAATAAAAACTTGTGACTCCTTCCAGAGTCCCAACAGAGTTGGATGGCGATTGGTCATTAAGTAAAAACAATTCACGTATTGCATACACAATCTCCAACCACATTCCAAAGCAACAAAACACAGGAGAAGCAAATCAGATAATTATTTTATTTTTTTCTCTGAGGCTTCTCGGCTTCCCAGGAGAAGAATCCTGGGCAAAGAGAATTTTTTCAGAAAATATGGCAGTGACAATGGTCAAGTGATGTGTCTGACACAGACTTCAGATCAGCCCGGTGTGATTCATACAGAAGGCATTCATTCATTCATTCATTCATTCATTCATTCATTCATTCATTCATTCATTCATTCATAGGTGTATGGTGCACACATGAACTAAGAGATTATATTGCACCAACCAGCAGCTACAATGAATCATCAATAATCAATATCGGTATCAAACATGGTATCAAATTGGTGGTGATCAATAACAATGCGTAAAAGGCAATACAAAAGTGCAAAAGGCAATTATTTAATTGGCATTTATGACCCAGCTGGGCTGCAGGCAAAGTGGAAAGCTGGAAGCTCTTGAGGGGGCCCATTCACCCCTGTCCCTGACTGTCCCAGAGTGTCCCTGAGTGTCCCCAGAGTGTCCCCAGTGACATCACCCCAGGAATTCCCATCAGGATTTGGGACAGTATCATTGAAAATTCCCAGAAAATTCCCCAAATCTGCCTCAAATACTGCACAGGGAGGGCACAGGTGACAGCAGCAATGTCCCTGATGATGTCAGTGCTCCCATGTGAAACTTTCCTGCAGCAGCCTCGGGATGTCCTCGATGGCTTTTTGGCACTGCTTGGCCACTGTGCAGCTGCCAGGGCCACCGGGGCCACCACAACCATCATAGGGACTCAAGAGGATGTTGTTGATGACCCCAAGTGTCCCAAGCAGGTGATCCTTGGCCAGACGGGTGCTGGCCTCCCACAGCCACTCAAACTTGGCCACTTTGGCTACCAAGGCCTGGAGGACATCAGGGGACACCTTGTTTGTCCCCTTCAGGATGGCCTTGATGTCCCTGAGCCGCCACTCCATGTTCCAGTAGAACAAGGTGGCTCTGTCACACGTGGCCACCAAGCGCTGCAGCAGCCCCAGGGCCACCACTGCCCAACGTCCCCTCCTGGTGGCCGCCACAGCCTCTCCCATTCCCTCACTGGTGGCTGCCGCCACCTGGGCATCGTATGTGGCCATTTCCCTGGCCACTTCCTCCTTGTCCAGGGCCACCATCAGCTGCTGGTTCGCAATTACCTTCCTGTGGTTGTCACGGAGCTTGGTGGCCTCCCTGGCCAGCCAGTCCCAGCTATCCACGAGCCTGGCCACCAACTCCTGCCAGGCCTTGGCCACAGCTCTCACATTGGCCCAGGTGGTCCCAGGGGTGGCCCCGAGGGTGGCCAGGGCCTGGCCCAGGGAGGGGACACCAGGGTGGCCCAGGGAGGTGACACCGCCATGGTTCAGGATTGCACGAAGGCTCCGGGTGAAGTTCTTCAGGTCCTCATCTAAGGAGTTTGGGGACTTGTCGCTTTGTGGCCCAGTCATGGTGGCCAGCATCTCGCCCAGGGTGGCCACCACGGCCACCAGCACCTGAAGCTGTGGAGGGGACACCTGTGGGGGAGACAGGGGAGGTGTCAGGGACCTGGTGGCACTTACGGCCTCCTGCGGTGGCCTCAGTGCTCTCAAGCAGTCCCCTCTGCCCTTCTGACCCTTTGTCAGCATCTTGTCCCCACTGCCACCTCCCGCCACCTCTCCCCACCATCGCACCTCTTGGGGCTCCATGGTCACTGGGGATACATTGGGAACACTCTGGGGATGGTCTGGGGGTTGAAGGAGCCTTGGGATGTCCTCGATAGCTCTTTGGCACCGCTCGGCCACCCCACAGGCACTGGGGCTGGCGCAACCACCGGTGAAATAGAACTTGATGATGTCGTCAACTGCCCCCAGAAGGTGATCCTTGGCCAGGCGGGCGTTGGCCTCCCACAGCCGCTCAGCCTCAGCCACCTTGGCCACCAAGCCCTTGAGGATGTTGAGGGATGCCTCATTTATCCCCTTCAGGGCAGCCTTGGTGTCCCTGAGCAGGCGCTGCAGCTCCCGGGGGAATGCAGTGGCTTCGTCACANATTTGGGGGTTCCATTCCCCTCCCACCTCAATTTGGGGGTCCCATTCCCCTCCCAGCTCAATTTTGGGGTCCCGACCCTCTTTTCCCTGCTCTCTCCTTTCCGATCGTTCCCCCAGTCCCCTCCCCCGTGTTTGGTTTTGGGGGCTCCAAGCCCCTCCTGCTCCGTTTTTGGCTCCCGACCTTGTTATGCATTTATTTGGCGTCTCCAATCTATCCTGATGGTCACCTTCTCCCCCCAAATCCGCTCCTGGCAACTGATGAGTCATCAGCGAGACACGCTCTGATTGGCTGGAAATTACCCCGCGCGGTCTCCGAGTATTTCCCGCAGTGAGAGGCCTTGGTGTGTGGCTGGCAAGCGATGAGTCAGAGTCGGGCCGGGCGCTGATTGGCTGAAAATCGCTGAGCGGAGCTAGTGCTCTGATTTTGTGCCCAGCAAGTGGATCGTCATCAGTGCCATGTGTTTTGACTGGTCAGGATCTGTTTTGGGGTGGGGATGGGAGGAACTGGGGTTTCTTGGGGTTTATTTGGGTTTAATCAGGGTTTCTTTGGGGTTTTTTGGGGTTTTTTATGGACTATTTGGGCTTTCTCTTGGGTTTTACTTGGTTTATTTCTGTTTATTTGGGGTTATTTGGAAATATTTGAGTTTATTTGGAAGTATTTGGGTTTGTTTGGGTTTACTTGGGTTTTTTTGGAATTACTTGGGGATCTTGGGGTTAATGTTGGTGGGTTTTTTTAGGAGTAATTGAAATAAGTTGGGTGATTTTGATTTTAATTTGGTTTTTTTTGTTTGTTTTTTTGGGGTTATTTGGATTTGTTTGGGGTTATTTGGGGCATTTTCTGGTATTGTTTAGGGTTTTTTAGAGGTTCTTTGGGGTTTATTTCGAGTGTTTTGGGGTTATTTAGGTTATTTGGGGTCACGTGGGGTAAAAATCCGGGAATGTTTATCCTGAAAAACATGGGAATTTTTCCTTAAAAATCTGAGAGTTTTTCCCAAAAAACCGGGAATGACCCTTAAAAATCCGTGACCTTTCCCTGTCAATGCTAACGTGCCCCGCCCCAAACCATCCAATCACCACGCTCCATCACCCAAATTACCAAATCACAGCGCACCCTTCCCCAAACCAACCAATCACCGCGCGCCTCCCCTCGGCAAAGCCCGCCTCCCCCACCCCATCCTTTCAATCAGCACACCCTGTACGAAACCAACCAATCACCCGGCGTCTCCCCTCAGCAACTCCCGCCNCCGGAGACGGAGCCAGAGCTCGGAGCTGGTGCTCCATGAGCAGCTCCATGATGGGGAGAAGCCCCACACGTGTGGGGAGTGTGGGAAGAGCTTCAGGTGGAACTCCAACCTGATTGCGCACCAGAGGATCCACACTGGGGAGAAGCCCTACGAGTGTAGGGAGTGTGGGAAGAGCTTTAGAGAGAGCTCCAGCCTGATAAATCATCAGAGGATCCACACTGGCGAAAGGCCATACGAATGCTCCAAGTGTGGGATGTGCTTCAGCCGGAGCTCCAGCCTGATCAGGCACCAGAGAACCCACACTGAGGACAGGCCCTATGAGTGTTCCAAGTGTGGGAAGAGGTTTAAGACCAGCGCCCATCTCCTCCTGCACTATCTGAGTCACAGAGAGGAGAGGCCCTTCCAATGCCCCGACTGTGGGAAGGGATTCAAGGACAACTCCGCCCTCGTCAAGCACCGGCGCATCCACACTGGGGAGAGGCCCTACGAGTGTGATAAATGCAGGAAGAGGTTTCCGACCAGCTCTGGTCTCCTCCAGCACTATCGGATTCACACAGAGGAGAGGCCCTTCCGCTGTTCCGACTGCGGGAAGGGATTCAAGCGCAACTGCCACCTCATCAGGCACCGGCGCATCCACACTGGGGAGAGGCCCTACGAGTGTCCCCAGTGTGGGAAGACCTTCCCACAGAGCTCTACCTTGACCCGACACCAACGGAGGCACCGGTAAGGGAAGCCCTGCGAGTGCCCCCTGTGCGGGCAGAGCTTCGTGCGCTGCTCCAGCTCCATCCCCCACTGGAGGAGGCACTTTGGGCACAGCCCTGGTCACTCACATGCCCTGTGATCCATGTTGGGAACACACCTGGCTGCTTCGCCTTTTGATTTGGCCTTAATTTTCCTCTGCTTCACCTTCATCCTTTAAAAAAACCCAAAACTGGGTTAATTGAAGGAAATTGATTGAATATATCTGAAGTTCCATAATTTCTCAGTTGTTTTAGGGGGAATTTAATATTTGGGGACATGTTCTGTATGGAGTGCTGCTGTTGCTAAGAGGCAGGAATTTGGTCTCACCCTTCTTGTGTTGCTAAGAACTCCTCCCCTGACCCCAACCCCAATTCCACCCTTTGGATATCCTATAAAAACTCCACGGCCCTGCCTGTGCCCTGTCTTTCGGGGGTAAGAATGGATTCCCAAAGGACCAGCCCTTTCTCACTGGATTCCAAGTGGATCAGCCTTTTTCACTGAATTCCCAGAGGATTCTGACTCTGTCACTGTTTCTTTTTGTTTGTATTACTGCATTTGTATTTTTATTTTTTCCTAATAAAGTACTGATTTTTCTCTTTCCATATCTTTGCCTGAGAGCCCCTTAATTTCAAAAGAAATTACTATTATTATTATTAATAATAATAATAATAATAATAATAATAATAATAATAATAGTAATCAAAGGGAGGGGGTTTACATTTTCCATTTCAGTAGAGGCTCCTGAAATGGGGAGACACCCTCAAGGCTGGGCCATGTCAAATAGTTCCTGAAACATGTAAATTAGTTGATGTGTATGCATGAGGGTCTATGAATATGCAACCGGCTGATGTAATTAAAACCAGATTAATTAAGGGGTGTCCCCGAGCATAACTGGGGGGTCTTGGTGGCCATAACAACCTTTGCTCGATGGTCCTTGTCTCCCATTANCAGGGGGGACTCCTTGGAGCCGCTGCAGCCCAGAGCAGAGAATGAGGGGAGAAGGGAGCCCGGGAGCCCAAACAGCCCCGGCATCCCGAAATGGGGAGAGCGAAGCGGGGGGAGCTTTTGGCATTGCTGGGACTGCCAGCAGCCTGGGCAGGGTGGGCACCGGGCACAAGGGAGAACCCCAATCCAAGCATGACCCCCAGCAGCTGGGACAGGGGGGAACCCCCGAACACCAGAGGAGAGGGACCAGGGATGGGGAACCCCTGGGAGGCTTTTTCAGGGCTGAATCTTGGTGTTTGGGAGGTTTTTCTTGAGTCCAGATGGCCGGTGACTTGTAGACATGGACTCGAGCAGAGCGACCTTCAAACTCAATATGTGTTGGAGAAGATGAAACATGAAAACCTTATAAATATGATTGTCTTGCAAAAGACAGTGAGGATATAGAAGGTATAAGGAAGATATAACTAAAAGCAAACTCTGAAATACCTTAGTTAGTGAACAACTGGAAAACAATGGTGTGACCGAAATGAAGGCAATCCCCTTTTGATGAAACAATTCCCTCTGCTCGCAGACAGATCCAAGGGTTAGAGCAGACCCTACAGCTCAGCAGAAGGGGTCCAGAGAGGATTTTTTAGGGTTTAAAATGTAACACATTTTAATGTAACACATGTAATGACTTTTACAGGCTGTATGTAAATGCTATAGGATTTGTATCTTGTACTAGATTGGTTAGTGAGAAATAGAATATTCAACACAGAAGAAAATTTATTGTATTGTAATGGGACCCTTACTCTCTTACGCTCTTCTCCTCTTACTCTCTCACCCTCTCACCCTCTCTACCCCTCTCTTCTCTCGGGCCTGCTCCGAGCTGTGCCTGGCAGCTCCAAGCAGGGCCCTGCACCCAGGCCCTTTGCAATAAACCGCAAGTTCCACGCCCTGGCTGCAGAGCTCTCTCGTCTCCGTCCGTCCCGACCGTCCTACCCCCCGATGCTCCTACAAATTTGCTCATCCCTTGTTTTCCCCAAACCAGGATTGCCCATTGCCAAGGCCTAGGAGGCTGCGAGGAAGAGGAAGATGGCCCAGGATGCTGAGGCAGGTGAGGAGGAAGTCAGTGCCCCTTTCCCCTCTGTGCTGCTCCATCTCCCAGCCCAGCAGGGCCCCGGCTGCAGCTCAGCCCTGGGGGGATCTCCTTGCCCTTGCCTGTGGCACGGAGGCAAATCCCATCCTGTCCTTGTCCTTCCTNGGTTATGAAAGGATTGGGAGGGGCTGAGGGAGAACTGGGGGTCCTGAGGGGATGTGGGGTGTTCTGAGGGCGTTTGGGGAGATCGAGAGGGAGAACTGGGGGTCGTGAGGAGGTTTGGGGGCTTCTGAGAGGATTGGAGGGGTTGTGAGGGGCTTTTGGGGGGTGAGAGGGAGAACTGGGTACCCTGAGGGTATTTGGGGGGTTCTGAGGGGGTTTGGGTGGGATTGTGAGGGGATGTGAGAGGGCTGAGGGGTTATTAGGGGGTTTGGGACGTGGTGAGGGGATGTGGAGGGTCCTGGGGGAGAATTTGGTGTCCTGAGGGTGTTTGTGGGGTTCTGAGGAGATCTGGGGGGGTCTTGAGGGGATATGGAGAACTCATGAGGAAATCTGGGGGGATTCTGAGGAGATTTTTGAGAGTCCTAAGGAGGATATGGGAGCCCTGCGGGGGACGTGGGGCACTGAGGATAGTTTGGAGGTTTGTGAGGACATTTGGGGGCATTCTGAGTGGGTTTGGGAGGATGTTGGGAGTTTCCGACTAGATTTGGGGCATCCTGAGGGAATTTTGGAGATCCCCGAGTGGATTTTGTGGGTCCCTGAATGGATTAGGGCTGATTTGGGAGTGATTTGGGGTTATTTTGGGGTCCCTGACTGGATTTGGGGGAATTTGGGGAATTTTGGGATCCCTGGATAAATTTTGGGGTATTTTCAGATAATTTTCGGGTCCCTGACTGGATTCTGGGAGGATTTGGGGTAATTTAGGAGTCCCTGAGGGGACTTTGGGGTATTTTCAGCTGTTTTTGGGGTAAGTTTGGCTATCTGACCAGATTTTGGGGTCCTTGTCCTGATTTTGGGATATTTTGGCATACCTGACTAGATTTTGGGGTATTTTCGGGTCATTTTGGGGTTCCTCACCAGATTTTGGCCATTTTGGGGTAATTTCATGGTCCCTGACCAGAGTTTGGGGATTTTTTTGAGTATTTTTTGGAGTAATTTTGTGATCTCTCACTGGAGTTTGGGTTTTTTTTGGGGGTATTTTTGTAGGACAACAGGGGTAGGATGGTCGGGATGGAGAGAGACGAGAGATCTCTGCAGCCAGGTCGTGGAACTTGGGGTTTATTGCAAAGGGCCTGGGTGCAGGGCCCTGCTTGGAGCTGCCAGGCACAGCTGGAGCAGGCCCGAGAGAGGGAGAAGAGTGGTGTTATATTTCCCCAATTATCCCATCATGAACAAAACCAAACAATATTAAAGGTAGCAGCAATTTTCATTGAATAGCTTAGAATATATAAAATCGGATACACTTGAAATATTGACAATGTAATTTGGTTAAAATAAGGGATAATTTGGTTCCAATAATAGCACATAAGCAAAAAGAACAAACAGCGAGGGGCACGGAGTGCAGGGTTCTGGGACCCTTGCCACCTCACATAGGAGCTTGCCAAGCGAAAATTCCCCCTTTTGTGCCATGTGTCAATGCCATCTCCTCCCATTTTCAAATCATCACACTTGTACCTCTGCCCTCATCACCACCTTTACCACGCATGCTCCACCACTCTTTTCGTGGTTGCACCCGTCTTTGGGGGTCGTCACTGATGAAGGCCTCTCCTCTTCCTCGATGTCCTTTAATTCACCCTTGGGTAATACATGCGCACCAAGCTAGTATAATGTAAGCCAAAACTAACAGAATATTATATTTAAGCATCAAAGCAATAAATCTCTTATAGAGGGCATTTTCCTGGGACCCAACCAGATTTTCCTTTCTTTCTGTTAATTTTTAGTAACTGTTATCTCTTGCTTTTTCCTGCCTTGAACATCTGCAGGAAAGGGGGGGGGTGGGAGGAACACCTCCTCTCCCTTTCTTGGCAGTACACCTTTTAACTGTTTTATTATTGCCAAATATTAATTACTGTATCAATATTGATTACTGTTTCAATTTTGTCAGCACAAATCATATCTATTTACCATACTTCTCATTATCTTGCTCTGAGTTTTTGGAGTTTTCTGCCAGAAATCTCTCCCCTCCCCCACTCATTCACAGAGGTTTGGGGCGGTTTTTCCTTTTTGGGGGAAATCAAAACGATGCCCTGATGCTCCTAATTAGGGGCAGGAGAAGTGAGGCTCCAGGGCTTCCCGCTGAGCCGGAGCCACCGGAGCCGCA